GCCTTTGGCTTTTAACCAGGGAGTCCTACGTTCGATTTCTGATCGGGACATACTGTTATTTTCTGTTCCTTCATGATAGTACAAAGAAGTCGTGAGCCAACACTGGATGTACGACACTAAAAACTATATAGTCATCCCCTAATTGTTGATAGCTAATATATTGTTTATCTGAACAATTGTACCGATAACGTTCACTAACGTTCATCATCGGATTTGATTCATCATCTTTAAATAAACAATCATACTGTCCATCATTGATACGACTGCGTGCAATTTGCTCATTGGTTTTTAAACATCTATATGTAGTATTTGATTGCAATAATGTTGTATCTGTCGAGTTTAATGAAGCATTACAAAACAGAAATGAAAATGGCGGATAAGCATACGCTTGAAGTTCTCTAATGAGGAAACACGTGCCATTGGATAGCGAAACGATTTTTTCATTACACATCAAGGAACCATTTAAACAATAAGAATACGATCGAAAAGATGTTCTATCATTATCAGTAAAGTATTTGCGAAGTTCATGTTGGTGATATGCGGTCTTTATGTATGATACATGTAAATTATCCGTCGGAAAGTGAATAAGTTGTTTGTCTTTATAATGATCATCAAAACGACTTATGCTATTATTAATATGTAACATTGAATCACGAATACTTTTAGTACACTTATCTGCATCTTTGATTTGTTGATCGGATGTTAAAGTTGAATTTACACAATTTCCTACTGAAGTTGTACTCAATGTATTAATTTCACATTGATAATAGATATCACGAAAATTGTTACAATGTTCACTGTTTAACCATGAAATACATTGAGAAGATCCACATGAAAATTCATTGCGACCGCACAAACGATTTTCACAAACAGGGTTCGAAATTGTATCACAATCATCAAATATCTTGATCATTGCTGGACTGTTTTGTTCATCAGATAAATCCACTAAAGAAAGATTTTTGATTTTTAGATTCGACCTTATTTAAACTAAACAGATTTGTTTATAATTGCTCGCTCATATACAAAAACAGTCTGATTCTTCCAAATTTCGACAGTAGTTTCAAGAATGGCACGTACTAAACATACATTCAAGTTTTTGAGGAGTGACCATTTCCTCTCTTTTTGAAAAAAGTTTTGACTTTCAGTTTCACAGATATGTAGAAGATGGTATGGGCTATAAAATAGGATTAATCGCAGTTTTCTATCGTCTTTCGGGAAAAAAGTCATTAACTGTTGTAAATCTTTGGCCATGAAACTGAAAATATTAAATATTTTTTGGTTTTATAAAGTTTACTCCCTTTCTACTATCTTCAAGAATTTTTGCTCATACATAATCTGATAAAGCAGAGTATTCTCTTCATAATAAAACCTTTCCAAAACCTTTGCAATGTTCCTTTCACAAAACATAGACATCTGTAATTCCATGGAAAAAATTATCGCTATAATACGAATAATTGCGCTATAATTACGCTATAATTGCGAATAGGGTAAGTAATGAATTTTATACCAGATGAAAGCCCGTCGAAAACGGGATTTATTGATGCTAAATAGTAAGTTTTATCAAAGCATTTTAGTGTCGAACTTAAGAAAGTTT